AATGGGCAGACAGAGTCGGCCGCTTTTCCTAACCAGGAAAAAGCAGTCAGTAGCTTCACCTCAGCCCTGTCTCACACTGAAATACAAATGCAGCCTGCTCTCTGTGTCTTACCATCTCTGCCCCTCCCTTTCCTTCTCTCTCTCCCTCTCCTCCACTGGGAACATGGACGGGATACTACACATTTGCAAGTGAATTACACTTTTTGTTGAGATGTTTTTGTGCGTGTATGAATTGTAAAAATGGGGAAGAGTGTGTGAGAGGGAAAGGGTGCTCCTGGCATTGGTCTTTTCTTTTCTTCTCTCTATAATCCTGAGGAGGATAAGCTGCGAGGTACACAGAGAGGAAGTGCCACAGACCTGCTGGGGTCCAGCACATCCTAGCAGTGCATTCCTACAGCCCAGCTATCATAACCACGTATAGACAGATATAAACTAAAATCCTCTCAGCCACACATAACTACTGTTTGCCACAGTCACAGAGTTGAATGGATGCAGTACACACACAGTAAGGATATTTAAAATTAGTATGACCTGAAACCAAAACTGAATTCTCACCAAGATTTAAGAACAGAAATAAAATATTATCAGCTGAGAAACTGACAGCTCGATTATACAAATACGTACACTGTATTTGGTACTAATAAAAGTCATGATGTTGCATCAAGTGACCTGGCTATAAATTAATGAGTTGGAAAAATGACATGCTGATGGAGTGAAATGCAGATCACCTGACTGCACTGAAACATATCTTATTTTATCAAAATGTAATTTCCTCATATGAATAAAATTATTTAAATTGTTTAAGTTTGACCTTTGTGTCATATGATGAGTACACAGTGTTATTATAATTTAAATTATTTGGCATTTTATTAAAAAAAAAAAAGATAATACAATAGATAACGTGGAAAATTGAAGGCACGAGCTATGCAGCTGATGCACTGTCAATATTTTAGACCTGTCACTGGCTCTCTCCCTCCCTCACACACACACACACACACACACACACTCGTCCACGCACTTGTGCTTCAGTTACACAATGCAGATTTCACAGACACAGATAAACAATGTGAGGGCAGCTATCACTCCACAGAGCACAGTAACATAGAGGAAGAGGAAGAGGATGACAAAGAAATAGGGGAGGATAAAAAGACGGCGTGTGTGTCGTCAGAGTCACAGGCCAGAGGGGCCCATGTATTGTTCCAGGGCTCAGTGTGGGGAGAAACAGGCAACCTGGGCTGCCTCTGTCTAAGCGTCCACCATGTTTTATGCATTCTATCCTTTGTGATGATAAGCACCAGTGCGGAGGGTGGAATGCTGGCCTCCAGGGTCCAGAAGAGGGATGGGCCTATGGGGGGCTGGGGTGCAACCTTGTTCAATTTTGCAGCCCTTGGAGTGGTCCCTGTCATTCCTGCCTTGCCTGTGTGTAGGTATATGTAGCCTCTACAGATGCAAAACCATTGTTCCTCCTATGCATGAACACCAGAGCGGACTGCTGCTGCTCCATTAGGACATATACGAAGTCAGTCGCAGCCGCCACACTGCACACACACTCAGCTTTTACAGTACTTCCAGTCCTGGACAGGCATGCATCACACAGTTCTCCTACTCAGTCGATACAGCAGCTCAGGAACCCAGTCTTCATCACTGTTACAATACAGCTTTGTAACAAACAGCCTTGTTCGCTACAAAGCTCATTGTTCACTTATTACAGAAGCAATACTGAAATTCTCGTCAAGGACGCAGATCCACACACACACACACACACACACACACACACACACACATCATAACTCCCTTCCATGACAACAACAGCATTAATCCATTAGAAATGGTATACAAATTTGTATCCTATATTATTTGCATCACATCTTATTCTACGATAACTCATGAATTTCCTTAACTGAAGGAGAGGATGTCAAAATACAATCCATGCATTGCTTTTACACCCAGAATGGAAAATGATTTTGTCCCTTCCACCCGTCTTTCTGTGCTCTGTTTGACTGCTCGACAATCTGAGAATGCTGTGTTATCAAAACATATGTCTGTTGTGTTCTGTCTGAATATTAACAATCTATAAAATTAATTTTAAAAATTGACAAGAAAATCAAACGTGTCTCATAACAAAGTGCTGAAGTGGCACATAATTTTTTTTTTTTGAATTTCAGTATGCACACAAACAGAACACCGCTGCGCGCACACACATGCAGAGACACATGTGCATCTTCTCGCTCATAAATCTAGTCTACCACAATGATTTAACCAAGATTGCTAAAACGATAACATATTGTGAAAGAGCAAACCACAAAAATATCTGCCAACTTGACTTCAAAAAGGTAAAAGGATGACACAGAAGAAGAGGAAGGAAAGCTCAAAAGAAGATGGGGTGCTTTCTGTGTGTAAAGAGGAGCCCCTTTGGACACCAGGATTAATGATCAGATATAGCATTCATGCATGCCACAAGCATACACACAATCACACACACCTGAGCATGACAGTCATCTCTTAAACTCTCCCTTCTCCCTCACCCCTGTGCTGAGCCGAGATCCCGCCCCCTGCCAGCTCTTTTATGATAGTAGGACACATTCACTGGCCTTGGCTGCAGGACAGCTGGAAGAACTAGTCCTTGCTGCACAACCTGGCATATTCAAAACCAAAAAAACTGTGTCGACTGCCCTCAGCTGCAGAGAGCAAACAATGTTCAGGAGAAAAAAAAATAATTTTAACTGATTGTGATCATTTATTTAAAAAAAACAAATAAAAAAAATGATAATTTAATTCTACATTTTGTTTATGAGAGCACAAATAAGTGGATTTTTGTGTTCTGTGTGCATACACATTGTCAGGCACACCAACCTAAACTGTGCTGAATCTCCCATGTGCGGCTTTAGCCTGCTGTTCACCCAAAGAGGGCTCTCTCCTACCAAGGACATGGCAGCGAGCTCCCCCACCGTGCCAGTGCCCGAGCTCGGAAAGGTGGGAGTTACGGAGGGAGATATAGAGAGACACACAGGGAATGAGATGGGGGAGAGAGAGAGAGAGGGAGAGGCACACTGGGAGGGAGGAGAAGGGGTTATGACAGCCAGAGGCGCTGTCTACCCCCTAAAACCATGAAATGAGCCTATCCATGACGACTGCTACTCCCTTTACCTCGTTTCCCAAACTGGACATGCTGTTCCCACTCATAGAGTCAAGCTGCATCTGAATACTCTGAATATATCTGTTATTGAATATGGTAATAGAGGGGGACGACCGTTTTGTTGCTGTGCAGGATCAGGAGCATCTACACATCTCCGCTTTAAAAACTGTCATCACATCACAACACTGCAAAACCAAATATTCTCTTCATATTCTGAAGAATAATCACAGCAGCAACCACACACAGACAACAACTGAAGCATATTTACTTACGTGATTACTGACACAACTAGAATCTAGTTTGATCACTAGGTGCACAGAACTACCATCACAAATAAATCATTTTTATCATTCTGATCCTAACAGACAAAAAAAAAAAGTTGTCTAACACACTCAGATAACATTTTTAAAATTTGGTCTAATTTTTAAATAACCATTTGGTTTAAAACAGTTAATTGATGCAACAAATATCTATTAATCAGTTCCAAATAATTTAACACTACTTCTAATAAAGTTAATTAGAATAATTACAGGAGTGAAATATTTGTTTTATTTATACACCATTTTCCTATTTTCCCAGCAGTTATGGCACATGTCTTATCTACACCTAAATGTTTAAAAGAAATATTAAAATGTTTTTGAAAAACCAATTTTTAAAAAATGAAAATCCAGCCTTGATAAACATATTCACAAAAGAGAAAGAAATAACTGAGCACAAGTAATGAGTTCAAGGTAAAAAAAAAAAAGAAAAAACTGCCCATTTTAAATGATGTTTTTAAAACGCTGGCTGTGGTAAAACCATCACTAATGGCACTTCAACATGAACGGAATATTTCCAGTATCACAGTCAGGGATGAGCCTGAGATACTACAGTTAGCTCCACCAAACATGTCTGACAAACACATATTTGAAACAGAATACACAGAAAAAAAGCCATTGACATTCCTATACCTTTGCCAGGAAATGTTATAATTAAACTTAAATATGACAATGAGAGGAGGAAAATCAGACAGGTGAAATGACAGTAAACATTTCTGCTGTCTTTGTTTTGTAACAGAAGACGGAGAGAGGGAGGAGGAGGAAGAAGAGAGGAGACACGGGAGGAAGGGAGATCTCTCGAGTTTTGGCACAGCAGCCTACCTGTCCTATATGATAACACCTTCACAGTTCTAATGATTGGAGTCTAAACACACAAAAATTACTGCTGCAGATGCAAAAAAATGGGGTAAAGAAATATATAGCAATGCACAAAAAGAAGGAATTACACATGATATGATTACTGATCAAAATATTCAGCATGAATGTCAGTTTCCCTTCTTTCTCCTGCTGCTGAGAATTTTTTCATCTGCTCTTCTCCAGTCTGAAAGGTAGGAATCTGTTTATCTGACCTCTTCCCCTGATTCCTCCTCTATGGCCCATGGCTATCTGACCCCTCCACCCAACCTCTTCAACACTCCTACCCCCTCCCTCTTTGCCTCTCTCTCTCTCTCTCACCGCCTGACAGCTTTAGCATTTAACTTTATTAAACCTGTTAGCAGTCTGCTTGTGTTTCGCCCATCTTAAACTAAAGCCAGAGTCTTCATCCTGCAGATGCTGACAACCACAAGTGCGTTGTGTGGCTCCCAAAACACACCAACTACTACCATCATCATTTTCTCCCAGCCAGACCCATTCTCTCCCCGTCATTCCTGCGAGGGGGTTTCCTCTCTTTCTTTTTTATCTCTGCACTCACTCCATGACCCCTGTTCCCCCCTCTGACCTGCCCCCCACCCTCCCACGCACACACACACACACAGAGCTTCTCGGCCCCCTTTCCGTTTTTCCCAAAACGATACACACAGCCTATCTTTGCCTGTGCTCGCTCGCAAAACCTCTTTTCCCCTCTTTCTCTTCCCGACTTTATGTCGCGAAAAATAATCCCAGACTGACTAATTCTGGCAGATTTTTCTGACTGTGTAGAGCTCCATCCCGTCCGAAAAGTACTGGCTTTTTTTTTTATCCTATCTCTGAGAATTATTGGCTTGTAATAACGTCTAAACGCCAAGATAACCGCTCCATTTCCGTCTTCTCGATTTTTTTCCGATCAGATCCATTTTGGGCTAGATTGGTAACAATGTCGTTCCAGGCAGAAAAAAGAACAATATTTCTGCAAGAGGCCCATCCATCTTAGACAGGCTGTCTCTTTGCAATCCTCGTTTTTTCCCCTCCGAGAGTACATCCTATTTCGCATGTGAAAGACACCTTGTGTAGTTTAACTTTACAAAAAGACCCACACATGTTAACTGGCTAAGTGGCTGCTAAATGTAAGCAGTGACCTATAGGTTTCGCCCGGACCATACTGTAAGTTTCAGGCAGTAACTTTGGAGGGATTGTGTCTAGGTCAGACTAACAGTGCAAGGTTTTGTTTTCATTCCGGTCAGCATTTCTCGGGGAAAAAATGTTGTGTAGAAAGTCAGCTGTGGTAGCCAAGTAGTCGGAGGCAGCAGATAGGCTGCAGCCTGCCTATGTCCTCCCTAAACCACATGTCTGTTCTCTGAAACGCAACTCGGACTCTCGGGCTTTCCGTGCACACGGTCCTGCTGATCCGCTCTTGTCATGAAGCAGACCCGGGGCTCCGTTTTTTCTCAACACAACGCATTCAAACACACCCGCAAACACCAACCCTCCATGCACGCACACATACACACATGTCGATCGATTTGCATGTGACTTCGTCGGGGAATGAACGAGAATCGACTTAAAAACTACGCTTCAAAAGAAGCAAACAGCCATGAAAAATAAAAAAAGCAAAGATGGACAAAGTGGGGTAAAAGGAAAAGTGTAGCTAGAGAGGGCGGAGGGATTGCACGTTTCAGAGACGTGTCGAAGAGGAACAAAAATGTGTTTATCCAGAAGAGGATTTTATAAGCACACGACGGTGCCAAAACCCCCTGGATATGGCAAGTGTCAAATCTGTCAAAATTAGAAAGCGAGAGATGTTCCCTTTTGCCGGACTCACACGGACCCACAGGCTGGACCTAGAGCTCCTTTTCTGGGCTGCGCTCATATGGAGCTGCCGCTCCCCTTCGCTCGCTCAAAACAGCCCCCTTTCTTATCCCAACCATGCCTTAAAACATGTTTCTCGACAACCATAAGCCCTCTATACCTTCACCAGATCCACCGAAATGCACATATTTGTTTGAAAATCGTGCTTTTCTACGATCAACTGCTTGGAGAGGATCGCTGTCTTGCCCATTTCTTATCTTCCATTCATGAGGAGGAGAGGACGAACGCTGATGTAAACACAGGTAACGATACGAATAAAATCGAGAATAAACCCAAACTACTTGCATGAAATGAACTTGTGATCGCCAGTCTATTCTCACAATGTAAGAATAGCCAGCTCCGCTACACGTAAACTACGAACACATAGGAAAGAGGTTCAGATAAGTGCACAGCGAAAAGAATAGGATCGTGGAAACAGAGAGGAAAAGAGACAAACGCAAAGTTGAAACTTACAATTTCTCGCTGCCGCTTTGTGATCCTCGCTTTTTAATCCAGTATTGAGATGATTTAGCTAAAGATCCCATCAAGGCAGTCCGCTTTTGGTCAGTTTGCGCTTAGGGTGGCAAAAGAAAGATCATTGTTGTTGCGGAGTGTAAAAAACGAAGTAGGTACTATTAGTTGTTAAAGGCAATATAAAAATAATTTGGATGCAAAGCAGGCGATGAGTCTTGTGTTAGAGGGAGCGAGGAAGAGGTGAAAGTGAGATCTGATGATTGAAAAGAAAAAACTCTTTGGATCTTTATTCCTGCTAATTAGTTTCCTGCAAAAAATGGCTGTGATTAATTCAGTGCGCATGTGCTTCATTACACAGGCACGAAGGGAAGGGCTAATTAGCCGCCTTCTGGATCAATAAGATTCAGCAAAGGAGAGCGCTCGGGAGAGAGAGGGAGGGAGGGAGGGAGGGAAAAGAGGAGGGAGGGAGGGATAGATAGATACAAGTAGAAAAAAGAGGAAAGTAATGATCAGGAATTGAAAATATGGAATTAAGAACAGCGGAAAGTAAGTTTGATTAGACGGAAGACAGTGAAAGTTAATACTGGAGCAGGCAGCCGCAGCAGGCAGAGCCCGGCGCTACAGGCGCAGCTTTTCCTCCGCTCTTTTTCACTTTTTCAAACGTTTTTGTTCCGGTTTTTGCTTTTTAAAATGAAAGATATACACATCCTGTGTCCACTAAAAGCGCATAAGCGGTCTTGCTTTATTCTAGCGTCTTTTCCAACCTAACTCTCTCAGCGTAGTCGTGTCAAAGCTGCACACAGTGCTGCTTTTCTACAGTTAGTTTGTAGTTACAACTTACTGAAATAGTCTATCTAACAGAGTTACAGTAGCTCACATGGAAATATGCAGCTCTTTAGCATATCTCACTTGTAATTGTGCAAACACTCGTCATGTTTCCCAATAAGTAAAGCAAACACATGTCAAAAAATGTCCGCACGTTTAAAGCGATTTCTTACATGTATGCAAAACTGTAGCACTGCAACAGTAACACAGGCTGCCGCAGTGTACTGTTGTCATCTGCAATGACCAGAGCTTATCGTAGGTACACTGGCACCTGGATATTATCAGAGCTAGCAATGTATTTATATTGGCAGACATAAATATAGAATTTAAGGATTAAGAGAAATACCACTTGTACAGAGTCAAAGCTAATATTAAATTGCTCTGATGCGTTGCTTTAAAATTTTAACTCATAAACCTAAGTCGATTCAACCTGTAAACAGCATTTAGGGAAATCCCAGTTTATCTTTATGTTTAAAATGTATAAAAAACAATTTAATTTAATGAAGAGAGGCGTAATGGGCAGAGAATACTAAAGACTGTTTTAATAAAATTAAACCAAAAGGTGTTACTCAACTCACAGATTAGTGTGTATGTACAGATTAATTTGAATAAAACAGTAGAAGTAAAACTAGATTTTAAAAAGTGAAATCCATCTTTATAAAACACGCCATATGAAAGTAAAATGAATGATATGAAGATGTGTCGTTTTTTCACAGTTACTGTCAACTCCAAATATCAGTCCAGGTTAAAATTAAGGACAACACTTTATAAGACTGTTGTAGTATAAAACAGATGATTTGTTTCAATAACGTGAAGGCATCCATAGCACCTAGGTTTATTTTTATTATGTTTTTTTTTCAGTGAAATAGGCAAAGTCTTGGGAACTGCTTTGTTTAAGTACATTATACAAAGAAGTTCAGCTCTTTTTATAAAAAGCCTACTTGTTGAAGCCTCTTTGGATCCTATATGGATGTGACAATTTATTTAAATTGTACAATATGTGTCACGGGGGTTTAGAAAATATAAACAGGTTTAGCTATACAGCACACCAGTGAAAGACCTGTAAGTGAAGCTGTAATACAGAGGGATGACTGGGGAAACAGGTTATCCTGACATCTCTTATGAAACTGGTGGGAACACGATGTCAGTGCTGCCTATCTGAAACAACAACAATAACAGTGTGAATGTGTGATAAGGTGAGTTGTTTGGTCAGCCCCGGACCTAGTAGTTGTTCTGATATTCTAACACGAAGCCCAGGTGGTCAGCGTGTGTTTTCTGATTTGGAATTTCGAGATATCCTCATGATCAAAAGTAACGTAAATTTGTAGAGGTTGGTTTTTCTTAATAATCTTTCCGTAAAGCACTTCGTTTCTCTACCTGATGTCCTCTCGTTTCCTCCGAATGAATAGAGTGTATTGCAAAAATCAACCTTTGAGTCTCTCAGTGCTCTTTGTTATGATAATTTTATTGTTGATTCTCTGAGGAAATGGACAATCCCTCACTCCCAGTATGCACACGTTCTGTTCAAACAGCTCCATGGAGAGTCCTGGTCCACTGAATACAAGTAGCCGCTTTCACTGATCACATAACGTGCTATGCTTATTGAAACAATACGGATTTGATAGACTGCGCCTATATAGTGGATTCCGATACAGAGTTAATAGTTAAATGGCACATCTACTCGAATGCAAACATTGTCCAAACATGCTCCAGAACTTAAAGTAGCCATGATACAGTACTGTACAAGAGACAAGCATAAATGAGTTAATGCAACGGCCTGAGATATTTATTTATTCAGACGTGTGTTGGATAGAAATGCATGGCACTAGTGATTATTTTTATTTTCTAAAAATTGCACTCAACTGACATGCCTTTCCTGATGTTGTTGTGCTGAAGATAGCTTATGAAATATACAGGCTGTGTTTTTATGTTTCCAAAGGCCTGCGATTTAAAGGTTAGAAAGGTTATGAGACCCCCTTGGGACGCAGCGTTTCTACAGATTCAATGGCATATACGGTTTTGAAGAGCCTATGAAAATCAAACTTCTTATATTGTACCCTATACGGCCAAGACCGAACTCCCCCTCTCCGTCTCTCCCCCTCTCGCTCTCCCACACTCTCTCCCTCTCCCTGCTGCTAAAATGTATGGTGTGCTCCAACACGGCATTTCCTCAGCACTTGCCTTCCATGAGCCGAGGCAGGCACTGATACCTGTTTTTAAGCAACGTAGCATCTGCTGTACAGCACAGCTCTCTCACCAAAACAAGGAAACTGCATCGCCCCGTCGAACAGCTCAGTTTGCAGTGTGAGAGGCAGACTGCAGGAATCTCGAGGATTTGCGACGTGTCTGCTCTCTCGGGAAGAAGAGACTGTAAAAATGAATAGGTTGAAAATAGCGTGCGAGTGGAGTTAAAGGGGCTACGAGATAATAAAAGAGTCTGGTGTAATTTGAGGCTTGTAGGAGGCAGCTCTGAGGCACTCGGTCGCCTAAAGCCCAACAATGCAAACTTCAGTTTACAAATTTATGCAAAGGCCTGATTGACATTACTCCATCAGTGACCATATTGAGTGTAGTGCAGGCTAAGTCAAAGGAAGACCAGCCAGACAGAGGCCTTGATGCTTTTAGGGCCTATGCATCACTGAAAAGGGAAAAGGGGGGAACTGACAGGGTCTGAAGCTTTTGTGTTACCAGCATTCAATTGCGCCTCTCTGTGGGAAGGATAAATGTCCACGTGCCAGCCTCAATAGGCATACATCGATGAGTGGCATTGCAAATTCAACACAACCTGTGGCTATGACAGCCCCCGCATATGACAAAGAAAGGCAGAGTAGCCTAAAATACATGCTCCGTAGATGTGGGGCACATGAAAGTGTTTGACCATTACCAGAACTGCAAGGAACAAAACAGCGTACTCACACAGAGGGCAAAGCCCCATAATCGTTTCTATCATGCTTGGGCCGGTGTTCTGTGATGGCGATTTCACAGACCCAAGTGCACTACTGGCAACTTTTTAAAAGAATGTATTCAGACTAAATTAAATACAAATTTATGTTGGTATCAACTACCTTGGTGCGCGCCTGCACCAGACAAAGCACAAAGGGAACCAGAGGAAATAAGTGTTTAAAGACAAATGCTGTTATCGGGAAAAGTCCTATGGCTTAACTTTATAAAGAGATGACGACCATTATATTCTGAGACATTTGCGGGCTTAAGATGCTGGTACGCTGCAGTATCATAAACAGAGACGAAAAGGATCAGCCTGGGTGACATGCACATATTTCTACATGAAACCTAGTGTGGGCGGACCGGAAGCTGAAGGTGGGGTAGAAAACCCAATGAGCAAAATGTAAAGGTGAAAATGAAATAATTGGTATTTTACTTTACTTTCTAATTCTGATACCTTAGAGATGGTATACAACGTGTAGCGCATTTGGGTTGGTTCTGCACTCTGACCACAGCTGGGCTGATAAGAAAAGTTTCAGGGCAGTCCCCTCCTAACTCACTTTAGCCTGGTCCTGGTTTGTGAAATAGAGATGATCCACAGTGGAAAACCTTTTGACATTGCCTAACAGTACAAGGTTAAATAAACGTATAACTAGTTAGGGAAAAGTATTTGAATTTTAAGAAAATATTTATATAGGCCTGCTTATTTTCCTATAAGTCCTCCTTTGTTTCTTTATGATCCTCGACCGAATGAAACAGTCAAGGCTGCGCTGTTTACTGCTCAATCACAGCACACGTGAGAGGCTTGTGTCCGGCTCTCCATGTGTCTGGGGTGGATAGGGCAGCGCATCCAGGTGCAATGGGAGCGCCCTCTTATGTTCAGCCTGACCACTGGGATCAACCAGCACATCAACTCTTTTACAGGAGCCAAGCGCCTGCGGACCAGCTGGTCGTTGCAAAAGCGCACCTTTGGCTTTTAGACCTCTGGCCTTTCGGTCCAGCATTATATATGTGACTGCCTCGCGTGTAAATGATATAAATCAACGTGCCCTGTTTATTACGTGGTCAAAATAGGTGTGGGCTATCCAGGCGGAAATCAGAAGCATTTCAGATTAGGCGTTCACCAAAAGAGTTTATTAATGACGGTGCATATGCTCTCCGAACTGCCATGATATTTAAATAGCCAACTGACTGTTAGAGAGTAAGGAACGAAAGCCAAACACAGACCAAACTTGAACTTTGCCTAACTAGCGGAGCAAAGGACAGTTGATATAAAGTTCTGGATTAAAACATTATTTTGTTCACAAGATGTATATACTTAATTTAACACGAACTATTTACATTCTGATTTTCCACTAAATGCTTAATGCATAGGTTCCCGTAGACAGGAAACATATATTTTTGCAAATCTTTATTCGAATGTATTTTATATCTTCGACATTATTTTTCTAAAGCAGTTTTTGCAAATATTCCAGTCCGTCCTTTTATCACCGTGTCATGACTGGCACACGCAGAATCTTCTTGGATACCAGTCAGTGTTTGTGTGTGTAGCCTTCTGTATCACACTGAAATGCGCTTGTAATCGTCATTTCTGGCGTTTTACTTATAGACTTTCCTGTGTTATAGCTTGTCCTATGTCAGATCATTTATTCATCATTCAACTTGTTTGAACTTTATCACAGATGCATTGTATCCCGAATCTGCCCTCAGTGTTTTACCTGACTAAATCTTGTCCTGTTCATACGGATGGATATTTGATTTAAATGTTTTGAAGATGCTGTCGTGTTAAACGCATGTGTATGGGGTTTTTGTTTGTTAGTTTTGGTTGGTTTTTTTTGTTCCAGACGTCGTATTGTGTATGGGCAGGTTTTGCCTTCTGTTTTTCTGGTTGCTTGATTTTATGACTGCCTGTTTATAGCCAATATGTTTCTATTTATTTTTTGATTGATATTTCATTTTTGTTTGGTGATCTCTCCTCCTGAAATAAAATACTATTAAAATGCTCCTGGACAAAATTTCAGCGTATCACCTGCTCGTTTGATTTTCCTTCTTTTAACGCTGATTCAAATATTTCTTATGGAAATGCTTTCTACCTGTTAATGTTAGATCGTATGCAACCCACAGGAGCAAACCTGACACCATATTTCTGATTTGAGGTGAAAAACACAGGACCTGTTTTCTGCTGCTGGTGTTGTGACTTCAGAGTTTGGAAAAGAATAAATGACGGAGGGGCCGTCTGGTCATTCTGCCTCATTTACATCAGAAACAAGAAAGCATATCAATTCCCATCTCTCACCCATTTACTCGTCCAGACAGTACGACCTTATTAACGTCTCTATGCATAATTCAAAAACAGTTTTGACGTTTAGGTTTAGTGAATCATTCCAAATCTGGAGACTGTCAGTATCTGAAACATGTAGAAACATCCACAAATCTCCGCTGTTCTGCTGACTTTACTCTGTTGTCCAGATTATTTCATCCTGACCACTGCCATTAAATCCAGTCACAGAAAACACACACCCACGCACACACACACTCCAGACACATAGGGTGCGCGCGCACGCACGATTCCCCCCCAAATCAGCGAGCGAGCGTGACTTTCTTCTCTCTCCCTCTTTCCTCTGTGTGTGTGTGTAGTTAAGGGGTGAGGGGATGTCACGGTGTCGCATCATATTTTAAAAGGAAACCGAAAATTAAGAAATATAACGGATTACTTATTCTTCCTATTCTGAATAGATACACACACTCACCAACACAACAATAAAACAAACAAATTGTGAAATTGCCAAGCCTCAGCCCAGCCTCATTAGACCTCGCCGCCAAAATCACCATCAAAAAGTTTATTTTCAAACTGCCATTGACTTTATGACAAGGGATGTACACACACACACATATGTATATATATAGAGAGAGATAGAGAGAGAGAAGTTATATATATTTATATATACACACACACACACATACATGCTAGTAGCTGTTAGATCAATTCCTTACAAGTGCACCCACATATACTGTACAGTTGGCTATCTTCCAATCTCAGGAACAGCCAAAATAAATTGTGATTCCCCCCCCACACACACACACACACACATAGTGCTTACAAATGGCTAAGTCTGGAAATTAACGCCATACTGTCTACTAAATATGCAATTTCTAAATTATTTTGAAACATATACACCCTGAAGTGATGACCAATTTGTAAACAAAGAGACAAGCAGACAGCAGGCTTTCTGATAATGCATATTTCAGGTCGGAGATACAATGAATAATGGAGATTTCCTGAAAGCTGCTGTCACAGACACCGGGTGAGAGACAGGCGGGACTCGTGGGGTTTTACGCGCTTTGGAGAGGCTCACTGAAACAGCGGGATCTCAAATCAGAGCCATATGACCACTCCAGGCTACAGCAACACTAGCTGGTGGAAAACCGACCCAAACCGAACAGGGGAGGATCACCGAACCATACAACGACAAACCTATTAAAATGCCACTTCGTGCTTGCTGCATTTGCACTTGAATATAACAGGTGGAAGCGACACAAAAGGCAAACGCAGATCCAGAATTATCGCGAGGGGTCAAATCCCGCATCACGCACAGCCTTTGGATGCCGCAACACCATCTATCTTCAAGTATATGGCCTGGGCCAAGACAGCCATAATTTCAGGCGTGTCTTCTGACAATGCATCAATAAAAAAACATCACACAGACCAGTTAAAATCCAAAACATGCAAAATCAGTAGAGGGCTTTTATACATATCGCACAGTGTTTGAAACAACGTATATAGCAGCTTAGGTAAAATACGTCAAATTACACACCCAATTACTTATTATTGGAGAATGAATCAGACATAATGAGTTTTTCTATTCAGATCAATGACGTTAATATGAGGACAACAATGATGCCAATTGATGGATAATAATGCATAGTCTATATAATGAGGATAATGGACAAGGGTAGCCTAGCAACAATGAATAAAATGACAGCTTTTGATTCTTCTTAACATAGGCCTACTCGGTGGCCATTGGATGTTTGACTGTAACATGGCCCCAGTTACTACACACAGTCAGGCACTCAGTGGGCTGCTATTCAAACAAGGGAAAGAAGTGAATAGAGACACAGGGAATCGTGTAGAATTTTATATGCATAGAAATCAACTCGCATCACTCTAGTCCACACAAGGTCCTGCTGACAGACACCATCTGCACAGCATCTAGAAACAGACCCAACAAGCTCATCTGAGGCTTCATGTGATCAGACCCCCAGAGCTATGAAGGAGCCCGCTGGACCAAAAGCCACCTGGAGTCTTGTGAAAGTAATTTCAGATGGTCAAAGCATAAATCCTATCAGCTCTTCTAAACTTTGACTGTGTCAGGCGATCCCACTCATATTTGCTGTGGGTGGTGAATTGGCAGGGAGGGTCATAAACTATTGCCTGTCCATCAAGCAGTTTGGCCCCTGCGCTCTAAAAACCTCACTGGAGGTGAGCAACCCCCCAGCCCTGAGTGTTCCTGGATCCAATAAAACCAAGTGATTAGTGGGGCTGTTCCTTTTTAGGTGTTGGTTCGTTAATGGAGTTAATAGTGAAGGTGTTTACTTTTGCACTACAGGAGGGGTGGGTTGAGACCAGGAGGTCCGCACCAGTCCACCTACTGACTTTGCCTGCATCATGCCTCTACTCTATCTATGTATGTACATATACGTAGGTAATACTGAAGTCAAATATGGTCCATTAATTCAGTTCACAATAAAAACATATCATCTGTCTAATTCACAGGTTGAGCGTTTCAACTCGGATTGAATGCTATCGCGTCGGCAGTCAGAGGCCTTACACATCAGGCATGGGAAGATGCTTGTGAACGACACCTGTATCCTTGCTACCTGCACTCTCAGCTCACGCAGCCTGCCTTCCTGCCAAGATTGCTTTTGTGTTATGAACTGCAACATGTGTGCAACAGTTGGCTGACCTCATTCCTGTGGCAGAAATACAACCTTTCCCCTAACTGAAGCACATACCCTACCTTTTGTTTAGCTCATTTGGTAGTCTGGCTGTCTATTTGGTGCTAGAGAGGGCCTCCTCTCTTAAATGTGTTGAGAGGAAGCACAGGCATTCACATGCATGTGACTGACATCACATTAGAAAAAAATTAGAAACTGTGTAATACCATTTCTAATTCTGTCAGCTCTGTCATTACTGAATAATCTATGATGCGCATCCCTACAACCCTGTAGTGTATCAGCTGAATCGAATCCAGTTAAACAAGTTGTTTTTGTAGCTTATGAGGGCAAAAGATATCAACATGAAAAACTGTCTTTGAATTTCAAAAGGTCATACCCTCCCTGTGGTCAAATGACAGACACTGATGTGATATTCTCTTTCATCGCTTAGAGAATAAAATGTGAGCATTGGATCACAGGCACACATTAATTCACATCATTGCAGCTTGTAAATGAATCTGGAATCATCTTGAACTTAAATAACAATTGTAATTTGCAGTGATTGTACACATCCACTTTTCAGACATATTTGGCTGTAAGAGCACCTTGTTCAATGTCCCACTGTGTCCAGCTTTTAGACAACAGAAGATCTTTGAAACCGAGTTCACAGTCCCATTCCCCCATTCCAATCCAATAATACACAACAGAGTTTTCACAGTGTAATTACATTTTGTATTCTTAGTCTGAATACAAGGGAACCATTTTATAACTATGCAGCATGTATTTGAAATGCATTGCACTTCTATAGGTGGTGAATTGCTGTTTCATCTAAGAATGTAAACCAAACATAAGGACAACATTATCAAAACACTGAATACATCTATAATGTGTAATCCTCATGTTTTGGTTAGTATTTTCATGGATGTAATGTATTTTCTGGTTTGTATTTATAAATGAAAAATGATTCTATGGTGTATATTCAGCTATTACATTATTTTTTTTTCTTAATTGTATTTAACAAGCTATCTTGACTGCGAGGAGGTACTGTACATGACAAGCAGAAATGAGGGCCACATTTTTAATTGTAAACCATCATATTTTGAGATGAGTGAAAAGTAAACTTAATCTTTTTCCTTCACCCAGAACAGTGAGGCATTAGCAGTGGTGGCAGCTTCAGACTTAACATTCTGAGTGTTTGAATACACATCCATTTACAAATATATACTGCTGTATATACCAGAATCCACTGCATTTCACTTTAAATTACAACATAAGTGGCTGAGACAAACACTGATAAACTGAAATTGTGAGATATATTGGCTGTGCTTGTGTGTTTTGCACATTCAAATGAAATATAAGGCAAGTAACAAGATTGATAACCTGTGTTGTTTCTATTTTTTTGATCTAATGTTTTTGAATATGTGTAAATACATTTCCTCAGGAAAAAGGAGGTAGAGAAAGAGGATACTGGTGTAAACATATTCTGGTTAGATTAGTAAATGTATTGCATAGGCCCTGCTGTCCAATTACATACATCTTTCATGTATGAAATCATGCATGTCTATCTCTCTAAAAGGGGGAGGGCTAGCACAAAGGCAGCGACCCTGACTGCAGCAGAACAGTGTGTAGTCCACATGAAAAATAAGGTCTAGTGTTGGAGCCCTGGGCAAAGAGTGCAGCTCCATCAGCGCACAGGCCAGGGAGGGGAGCTGCTTTGCCCCACACTGGAGCCCTCTCCACTCCCGACTCCCACTGTATTATCGCTGTCCTAATGTGAGGCAGCTGACCCTCTGGGTCCTAAATCAAGCTCTACAGAAAATACATTTCGGGTCACGACCTTCAGTACCTCCACAATAATAAATTCTGTTTCTTGTGCTTTTAGGAGTTTTATTTTTCTTAACACTAAAAATAATCTTTAAAGATTCAGAAAAAAGAAAAACTAGCTGTTTATTTATTTTTCTATTTCTTCATTGAAATTTTCAAAACTTGCTGTTGGGTACTGAATTTCAGTGGCCCAAATTTTGTCAAAGCTCTTGTGATTCTTAATGACACAGTTCATTCCGGATGTCCTGCTGCTTTCAAACAATTTTCTCTTGAACATTTTTTTATTTTTAATTTGGCATATTAAAAAAAAAGCGCTTCCTTTCAGTTGAAGAGCTACTAACAGTATTAGCTTTTGGGTTGGGAGGAAATGCTTTTCCATGTAGGTACATAGCCTAATCTCTCTACCCTATTTGATTCCAAGCCATTGCCTGAGAAAAAAATAAAACTATTCAGACTCCCTTATCGAGCAGAATAATTTAGTCCAGATTGGATTGGGTCATAATCACTGACTGAAAATGTGTTGTTAAGTCTTCTGCAAAATAACTGGGGAAACCTATCCCTAACAAAACTGGAAGACTGAAGCTGAGCAAAATCAATTTCAAAGTCACTCTGAATGGAAACACTCATTTCACAACCATGTGCTATGAAGCCCAAAAATGAACGTATGCATCAGAAATGTGCAATTTTAGCACATTTCTGAAACAAGATTGAAACATATGCTGTATAGATTTTCTTATACACACTACACACACACACACAACATAACATTTGCACATCTGTAAACACACAGAAATAGTGGTGACATTTTATCAGCTAGAAAACCAAGAGATACGTACATCTTTGAACATTCATACATCCCATTACCGACAGCAATACTGATAACTGTAATGGAGTGCATACAGTAGAGAGTATCCTGTAGATGTGTCACTGTGTGAAATTATAAATAAAATGTATTTCCTATCCATTTGCACATTGGAGGTGGTATGGTCTGCAGGTTTTGGTGTATGTACCATAGAGCATGTCTTCATGTCCACTCAGTGTGATACAAACAGTAGCTAATGACAACATGCTTGTGTATATGGCGTGTGATCCACCCGGTCACGCATGCCAAGTTGTGTCATGTTTCTAGCACATTTGCTCTAGCTTTGGCTGGTCACTGGCCAAATCAGCAAGAGGTAAGTGAAGAACCCAGGGTGAGCATCTGTCAACCAAACAACCTCAACATATTCAAAGCCTCTTATTCAAGAGGAACAAACAAGTGAGCAGAGCATGAAAGCGGGGCATTTATCAGCCAGCCTTTTTGTTATACCAGCTCTGAGGGTGAGCTAACCGTGTGGGGGGACATAGACTGGGGACAAGTTAGATTCAAAGCCCTGAAGAAGTTAAAGGGCTTAGGGCTAGGACAGCAGGAGCAAAGGGGACTTCAGAGACTTACCTGATGGGGTTTTTGGTCTGAGTTGCCACCACACAGAAGCCTCTCTGACTGCGTTTCCTTTTCAAGTGTCTGTTTGAAGCCAGCAGGCAGAAAGGTCACGCCCTCTTGGTCACAGCAGGTTCGTAGAAGCAATGGTGGATGGCCAGCGGCTATTGCTAACGTTTAGACTTTTGTCTCTTTCTTTGTATACACAAAAAATAATAAAAGAGAATGTAAAGCTATTGATCCGGTGCCTGGGCACCTTAAGAAGTTTTGGTGGTATACTCCTAGAATTCCAGGTATTTCCAGGGTTTTCCAAAGCTATATGGTTTGGGATTTAGGGACTCCCAGGTCACATGAGGAACAAATCAGGATGACACCATCACCTGGAACAGGGAAAAAAAAAGAAAAAAATACCATCAGAAACATATTTTGAACAGCAAAGACAGCAAACACAGAGTTCCATGGCAGCCCTGTCAGAAAACCCACATTTTCCATCCCTCATCCTTGAAATCTGAGCACATAATAAATGTATTTCAGGAGAAACAAACTAGAGCAGTATGACTTCCATTAAGACTTCAAAATTAATCAGCTGTTTTTAGAGCCAACAAAATTAATCTATAATTATTTGTATGCTACTACTGCTGGACAGCGTCTTATGATTTCAAGATTACATTTAATAGCAAATGAAGTGCTGTGAGTAGTTTCTTCTCTCATACCATCGAAGATTTTTTAAAATGAGAAATGAAAAACGATTTCCGGAGAAACTTAATTTCCCTGTAACCAGAACAAGACATATTCCTGTAATAGTATATACAGTATAATTGTCTGTTCTGCAGAGGAGCTTCTGTATACAACAACAAAGTCTCATAGACAATACATATTTATTCATCTGTCAATTCCAGCAAGGAACAAAAAATATGTAAAAAAAAAAAAGACTGAATTCCACATGGGCTTGGTTTGTGGGTAAATATGCTTGTCATATGTTCCAGTAGTTCCATAGTGACAGAGATTTGGTTTGGGAATACAGGCAGGAGAAGCAGACAGCTTGTGATAGCTGAATCGCTCTTTTGAAGCCACTTCCATTTGGAAACACTGTGCGATTATTTTTACCTCTGTGGTTAGACTTGAGTTTAAAGCCCATGTTTAATTGTTCCCAAGAGTTCTTATTTGGTGCTGATAAGGAGCATGGGGAGCAACACTTGAAACTGAAACAAGAATGTGCAGTGACTCTTGCTCATCGGCCACAGGTCTCATAGAGTGACAAGAGAGGTTTCACGAAGCAACGAGAAAGAAGATGGATAAAAAGAAAAGAGAAAGACAGCCAGGCAGGGCAGACTGGGGACAAGTTAGATTCAAAGCCCTGAAGAAGTGAAAGGGCTTCAGGCTTGGACAGCAGGAGCAAAGGGGACTTCGGAGCCTTACCTGATGGGGTTTTGTGTGGTTATGATGGGGCTGATGATGGTTACCAATTTTTCTTGGTCCTGATTTTAATGTGTGCTCAGCATTTTAGAATCATATTACTTCTGTTTGAAATTTCAATTATTATATAATAATGATCCTGTAAAGTTATCTTAAAGGATAAGGTTGACCATTTTCTATATTAACAGTATTTTGAACAGTGTTTTGTAATGAAGAAACATGTCAACCAGTGCAGCGGTAGATTGTCCTGATGCATTTTTAATCGGGTTTGAACACCAATGGAGGTCTATTGCACAAACGAATAAGCTAATCCAGGACTGGCAGACTGAGAGGCATTAACAGTCAGTAGAGGCAAATCACTGTTGGTTTTAGTCTCCGTATTTAGTGTTTAAATTACCGTTAATATAGAAAATAGCCGACCTTATCCTTTAAATGGACAGTATACAGTCCTTTGCTTGCTAATCAATAAACAAAGTTTTGTCAGCAGTTACAGGAGACAGAACGCAGCACTGTTAATTTGTCGTCCCCCTCTCTCTCACTCCATCCAAGGCCACGACTTCCCAGTTTGTCTGGGCGACCTGTGGGAGTGTGTGTGTGTCAGATCAATAGCCCACCCACAGCAGAGCCGCGGGCCATCCCTGACCTGGGCTATTGATTAGGCCTGGCTCAGCTGCCAATAGCAATGTGTTGAATGTGACACCAGGCTAAGACAGGAACTGAGGAAGGGGGATTCTGAATTGCCAGTGGCAGCCCCACAGCACACCGCAGATAAAAGTCAATTCCACTTAAGCAAATCACTGACAACTAAATAGTTAGCAGAGAGAAGAATGCGAAGAGTCTCTGATGACAGTAACTGAATGGCTTTGGGGATTTCCATGCCCCTGACCTATGTCAGGGAGCACAACTGGCCATGGGAGAAACACTGTGACATCCACGGGCCTCTCTGTGCGCAGGAACCATGACCTCTCCCTGTATGTCAGTCTGTTTGTCTTTAACTAGGTCACTTCTCACTCTGAAAGTTACACCTGTGTCATTAATACCTTAGGGATTATTCTATCAATGGCTGCCTCTAGATCAATAATCTAGGATCATCCCCAGTACATTATCAAGTAATGATGACCGATTGATGTTCACATACATTACGTTACAGTCTATATCAATGAATCTACAAATATAATAGTCACCTGAGAGACATCTGAAGTATGGCTTTAAGTATAACATAAGGAATGCTGCTTCCCATGGAGGAGAGATAAAATTGTGTTTATTCGTATCTTTGCAACAATTCATCAAATTTGTGAAAAGAGCTATTAAACATCAGCTTTACAGTAGTGTTTCCGCTGCCCGTGCACAGATGTAATGCAGTCCCACTGAAGTTGTCAGACTCTTTTCGATCCATCTTGCTCACGGTCATTACCAGTCTATATTAGAGTAGTTTACATGTCACTTTACCAGTTCTCTGCCTCATGAATGTAATTCTGTGGCCACAGCTTCCTTGTGCATTCAGCACCTATCTATGGCTCCATATCTCTCCCAGTAATTGCTGAGTGACAGAAAGGCAATACTGACCACTTCATTATAGGAGAACCAGACTGACTGGACACTGGCCTCTTGGCTCTAGGTCAGTCTGGCCAGACTGACCTTATCTGCCCAGGTCGTCAGGGGTCAGTCACCCAGAATTTATAAGGACTTCGCCAGAGCTGCCATGGGTGCCATACAGCAAGGTCACCTGACCCAGGCATACTGCTTATATCAGGTATTGATTGCAGTTTGTCTACTTCAGTTGAGGCTGGACTAATCTCCCAACACTAGGATCTCAAGGGCAAAGGTTTCAGTGTAAAGTTAAACATCCGAAGTAGCAAGAGTGATAGTGGATGCTAGTGACCATAAGAGGGACACAATAAGAGTTATGGGGTTTGGGGATTAAAAAAAAAACAATATGTGTAAGAACAGTACAATGTAATAGCAGGGCTGGAACTATGACTGCTGTTCAAACCTGGTAAAAAAGGTTCTATTCTTAGGGTGCACTTGGGGAATGAAGCTCTGTGCATGACAAGTTTATTGAGTAAAGAAACAAAGGATGCTGTAGCAAGATGTATTGAAAAGGTACAGTACAGTACTTTGACTGAATGTGGATATGCAGGCTGAGAATCTGCTCCTTCTTGCTGTCTTCTAAACAGACAGGATACCAATCATCTGGGTGTATGAATTCAAAGTGTACCATTATTCATGTTGCTTTGAACTTTATGGTTTTCTGTTGTTTGCTCCCAAGATGGTTAAGTTAAACAATAAAAGGCACTGATCAGTATTTTTCTCAAATCATCACTACGTATTCCCAAGAAAGTTCATTAATCCATCTGCAAAAACAATTAGTTTTGAGTCTTTCTGTTATCCAGGTTTAGCAAAAAAACTTATCGATAAAGATATGTGTGATTGTAAGCCAGCAACTAAATGTGTATTTGTGCACGCATCTGTACTAGATGGTGTGTGGGAGACCCTTTATGTACATACTAAAGCATCCCTGATGCTTGTTAGATCTTGTCTCTCAGCAGCTGCTTGGCACCGTTCATATTAAATCACAATAATGGCAGATGAGCTCTCGCGCTAGAGAGACAAGCATCTATTTGAAACTGCACTTTATTACACTTTGTTCCTTTTAATCAAAAAAAACTATGTGAAAAGATAACCCGGTTTTAAAAATCTCAGATAAACAGCAACGATTGCATCTTTAAATAATAAATGATCCTCTGCCTCTTACAGACGAGAATATAACTGAAAATAATTGAAGACAACAATGTCCTATAAGAGCACCACTTGAACAGTGCTGATTCAGAATCCCTCATAACTTCAAACATTCAGTCATAAAGTATGGATAATCCATAAAAGAAAGGCATGCGTCTGTTTACAATTTCCTTCTAATTAAGGCTACAGGATGGGTTCTACCTTTGTTAAAGTTGATATGTGTTTGTTAGACTTCCCGAGAAAATGTACCGCTGGCAAATTAGGGGTGGAATACAAAACGAAACAAACAATAACACTCTAATATGAGGATCTGCAGTCAAGACTTAAATATTTCACAATCTGTCTACATTTGACATACTTTCAGTTGAGAACAAACGATTCCTAGACAACAAATTGCCCAAACTTGGTCTTGAGACAATAACCTTTTTGACCCGCATTAATTCACAAACGATGGTAGAGACTTCCACTTCACAGCTGTTTATGTAACTTGTCCTTAATTTGTTTGGAATTTAAGGACACGTTGTTACTTCTTTTATTTAAGTCAACAAAAAATTCCTCCTGGCAGCTATGGAAGGGAACAGATCAATAAGTTAACAAACACAAATCTAGCTGAATCAGAATGGTGTGGCATGTTCAAAACAATGAACGGGGCAAAATATAACGTTCTCCTTTATAACCACTGGCACCCAACAAGGGTTAAGGCTACAGTATATGGATCCTGAGAACGGTGCCTCTTAAAACCATGCAGATATCCTTACAGCGATGATGATGCATAACAACATTTTATTATAGGCCCTTGGTGAGGGTGAGCTAGAGAGTATGGAAAATCAGGTAAGCACTGTGCTGATGAAGGTGATGTTTTCCCATTTTCTCTCTGAACCCAGCCAGCTGTGTGCTGCGTGTCTAGGAGGGATAAGGTAGTGCTTGATGATTAATCATTGGGCATAATAAAGCTTCTCACCATGAGCGCACAGTCCAGCTGATTCTATGATATGATTGGGGCCGATTAGAAAAGAGAAATAATCATTCCTTACAGTGCATTCACAGCACACCCTAATGATATCTTCTGATTGAACCTTGCGGAGAAGATAATAAGGGCCGTCTTCAGAATGGACTATAAGATTATTTCTTTAACTTCATAAAACTGGGCCACGGGCCTGGATGCTGCAGATTTGAGGATTAAGATAAGCTGACCTTTCACATTATGTTGCCATGTATAAAAGAT